GCAAATGTGTTTGTTAAATGGTGCCACATATGATGGAGCTCTGCAATAGCTTTGTCAATGTCAAGTTCACATTATTGTCTTTATAAAATGAACCCATTACAAAAAGCATTCCTGCTTTTTGTGCTCTCTGCTTTCTGCCCTCGCTTCTTAACTTCTGTGCTGGTTACATGTTTTAGGTGGAGTGCATTGGTAATCTGGATGATACGAAAATGTGCATAGTGTAGCAATATTTGTTTATGCTTTCAAGACAGCCTAAACCCCTAAATTAACAGTACTGAGCAAATAGACAATATATACTATTTCACTGTAGGTTTGGATTCATAGATTAGGTGGTGAAAAGTCTGATACCTTATTAGTAGTATTGATTGGTTGGCCTTTACCCTAACATGAGTAAACTGGTTCTCTTGCAGAGAGATCATGTATATCTGAAAGACGACAATAAAAGCCAGTAAGATAATGCAAATCTCCTCTGAATTCAGGTCTAGGACTGGAGGTAGGGGGAGGGAGTATCCCACAAAAAGAATGGAGAAGCTAACCTACAACTCTGTGCCAGTGGAGATTCTACCGATGAAGCTGAACCTATCGCAGGAACAATTCCCATCAATAGCAGGATTTCCTATCATTTGCATGAGAGCAGCATTAGGCCCTTAGTCTCCTCAAGCGGTATGTTGTAAGGTAGACTTTGCACTCCTAGAGGATTTCCAGAACACAAATTCATAGCAGATAGCATCATAAAAGGAAGGGGAAAAGGAAGACTGATCCTACCAAAGCATTGCTTAGAAATGTGGACAAAGGCAAGAGAAGGAATTCAACTGTATCCTCCAGACGTACTGTGGAAGTGGAATTTCCCTTTACACTGTCATACACAATAAGGATAAGGGCCTGTGTGTGCTGCAGATAACCCACCTTGCGCCCTGTGAACTTTGCCAGGTGTCAGGAGGACTATTCCAGATGTTGCTGGTGGGCCTGGGGAGAGAGGAGGTTGCAGAGAAATGGATGGCTTCACTGGGGGCAAAGCCAGATAGGCTATTGCTAATTTGTGGAGACTGATGGTAGGCTCTTTAAAAGAATGTGTAATAGAAACGGGGCTCTTTCTCCTAAAGTTTTGGCAGAGGATGGTAGTGAAATCCCACAGGAACAGGAGGGTTTTGATGACAACTAGACTGGGACAATAAAACTGACCGATTTGGATTTTGAGAAATGAAGAATTTAAAACATTTCTGCTTTTGGTCTACCTCTAACTATGGTGGTGCTCTGTAATAACTTGCATTTCAGATGGCAATGTTAGAGCAGAAGAATACTCTTTCCTCTCCACTGGTCTTTTGGAAAGGTCCCCATACAATTTCTGCAGTGTGTCCCAGGTAACCATGCTTGCCTTTTCTCTAAAATACCAGTCATTTTTCACTATAAGTTCTGGACCCTTTAATGGATGATACTTGATAACACTTTCACATGCAGCTCCTAATCTTTTGTAAGACAGTTTTGCTGTCTATCTCACACAAAAATACTTGTCTGGAGAAAAGTCTGCCAGAGTGTCCATCCAGCTGCTTGACTCTTTCTGGTTTAGCGATTGAAAATCTTTACTTGGATATACTCAGAGTACCAAAACTGAAGTGTAGGCAGTGTTAACACCTGCAATGGATGGCTAAGTTTCCCCTCTGCCCTTCCCCTGTCTTTTCCCAGCCCTGGAAAACTGTTGAAAGCTCTTGAACTGTTCCAGTTCCTGTGGATGTTCGTGGGCTTTAACTAGCACCTAGGAGGGCTGTACCCCAAATCTTCTCACTGTCTGCCCAACAGGCAGCGTATAGCAGCATACATACAAAATAGACCCGTGGCACAAATAACATCCATCTCAGAAGTATGTTACAGAGAGAACTTAGAATATTCAGCAAAATCTTACATTCAAAATATAGCTAGTTCCACGCTTATTGACGAATTTGAAATTCAGATCAAGAGTGAAGCTCAGGTTCTCATTGAATGAAAGGGCTAATTTGTATTCTTGCACTGAAGAACTGTAAACAGGTTCTTCACAATTTTTTATTTTTTCTATTTCAAGATCAGACTCATTGCAGAATTTAGGAGGGAGGTGGCACATGCATTGGTGAGTGATGTGCATTCATTTTGCACATCATTATTCCCAGCGTTAGTCCTGTTAGTGGGATTCCTGGGTTTGCAGTGGGCTTTGTACTTGGGCAGAGGACAGGCCCTGGAGCAGGACGCCTGCAAGTTTCTTGGCAGCAAAAATGATGGCTCCTGATCATGACTGTGGCACCAGAGTCTTGTCTGCTTTCTGTGTTTGCAGTGGAAATATACCTGCATAGGCCCTTCGAATGGAATAGGGTGCTGAACTGAAGTCCACAGATGGATCGAGCAAACTCTCATCATGGATCAAACTAGTATCGAGCTCTGGATTTGCTAAAGTCTGTTCTGTAGTTCAAATTCTGATAAGCTCTTCAAAGGCATGTGTGGGGAATTGTTTTACCTTAGTGATTGTGAGCTGGGCATCTCTCTGTCCTAGCAAATCTCCGGTTTACACAAATAATCACTGTCTGCTGTGTTCTAGGGTAGAAGGGAAACCAGTCATGTCAGGGCTAAACTTTGAGGGATTTTTGATTTGTAAACCCACAAGGATAACAAAGGGAAAGCCACTTGATTTTAAAAAAATACACCAAAATATTTTCATGGCCAACAAATTTCTCACAAAGGCAGAGAACCTCTTATTTTCTTCTTGGCACTGGCATTTGAAACTCTGAATTAAACTTCTGGAACCTGAGCAAAAACCGGAATTATGCATGCATGACAAAAATAACCATGATGATTCCTTACAGAAAGCTCAGCTGCTAGACATAATCAGTTACCTCTATTCTGTGAACCTCTGCTTTTTTAGAAAATAGAAAGTATTAGCTGGCCTGATTTAAGCCTGTAGTTCTGTAGACATTTACCCTGACAAAAAAAAAAGATTTTTTAAAAAGTTTTTCTATTTTTCATTTGAAATACTAATTGAAGTAATTGATTTACAGATGTACAGTGAAGTCCTTTGTTCCATAAGTGCTATAGAGGACCTTCTGAACCATCCCCAGTGTTTTTTACCTATATCCTGTTTTCAGTTCTGTTTCACTCAACAGAGGCAGGATGTGAAGCAAACATGGCAACAAACCTGGTAACTGTTTGGGTGGAACTTTCTCTGCCTAAGCTGCCCCTTTAGCACTGAGCCCTGCATCTAGCGCTCTGCAAGCTGCAGATTGCTAAGTGACGTGTAGCTATTTCATGGCATAATTTCAGGGTTAGCATTTGTTTTAAAATGTTTAAGAACTAGTTTTATGATTTTATGTTAAAGAGCAAACCTTTGGGAAATACTTCTTGTTGCAATGCAGTGCAGCTGTAGAACTCCAAAAAACAAAGGCCATTTTTGTGGACAAAGCAGGAATGATTTATTAATTGAGTTTATCTTTTGCTTTCAAATTCATTTGTTTTATTGTTTGTAACTTCACATTCTTCTCTGTAGTATACTGTACTATTCTAAGGCTTTCATATGCTAAATTAATCCTGTGTCCTTTTCTCCTGTTGGTCACCCTTTATTTAAGGATAAAAAGTAACTCCTGGAGATACCGCAGATAAATTGCAAGTCAGCATTTCTGTGATTTGTTTCTGGTATATTGGTTGTTGTTAAAAGGCACAAATTAACCTAAGATGAGAAGCTTTTGTAAATCATTGGAGTATCCTTGCTTTTGTCTAATATTTTTTCCTACATTAACATCTATAATACTGTATGCTTTTACAAATGCTGATATAATGATTTATAATCAGTGGAGGCAGGGACACATTGATTAACTATACCTTTGTTAACTGCAGTAGCAACCAACTTCTAATGTTTTCGGTAGCTAAGAATGGAACAGATTTTCATACAGAAATTCGTCTTCTTCCATATCTTTTTTCCTTGCATTTCGTTCCTTCCTTTATCTTTATTACAGCGTGACAACCAGCACAGTAAGGTACTGTGCATGCTGACAGTCCTACTATTGCAGAATAGAGTTCTTACAGAGAAAGCAGTATCAGTTCATCTCTTATGCATAAAATGCTTTGTCTCTGCAAGCTGTACAGCAAACTTGTTAGCTCAGGGACTTGCTACACTATCTTTAGGATAAGATAAAAGCCTTTTCAATGAACTTTTTGTATCAAGCCACTGCTCATAAAATACCTTGTCAGAAAAAATGGTTCTTTTTGGACCACTGAGATCAAGAAACTTCTAAAATAAGAATTGCTGGTCTTTTAGAACAGGGGCTGTAAAACCTGGTAGTCCAGGGTTAGGGTGCTAAAGTACCTGGACCACTTTAAACTTGAGATTTAGGAGACCAAGTCACTGACGTGTTTATGTAAACTCCCCTCTAAGCCTTAAACAAATCTCTTAGCAGGAGATATACGCCAAAGCTGGCTAGTATACATGGTGGCTTTCACTTCCTCTTGGCATTGGTCACAATAAAGCCATAGCACCTTAAAGACAGATACCAAGTCAACCCCCACTTTGATAAAACATATTGCATCAAGTCATAGCACAGCTCACTCAAAACAGTACTAAGCCTGTAACTGTCCACACTGCAGGTGAAATCCTTTCCTAAAGGGTTTACAGGTGCAATTTGCAGTATCATTTCTGTCCCTTTTCCATTATGCATCGGCAACACAATCTAAATATTACAAAACAGAACTACAAAAAAGCATAAAATATCTCTTCTTTTAAACAATCTAGGAATATTGTGGTATAGCCAGCGATTTTCCTCTTCCATTGTCAATTGTAAACAGCTCTGCTGTTGTCTACACTTAATTTGGTTTAAGTGCCATCAATGTTAGGCCCAAAGGATTCTGTGGATATGTATAAAATTCATAGCCTGTCTGCTGGTATTTCTTAAATTATTTAAGACATTAGAAGAGCTTTTTGGTGGAGGTAAAAAACCTTTGAAATGAACTTCATAGCTGAAGGACAGCAAATACTGTTTATCCCTTACCTGAATCAGAGTTGGTGGAGCTTCAGTTTGTTCCCAAATCAGGCAAACTACAATCAACAGTATCCCAAAATGTTAAGCAGTATACAGAAAATGAAGATCAAACAGAAAAATCCACTTCTCTTTTCATTAAGCAATATTGGGAGTGTTCAGCTCTCCAGTCTCCAAGGTTTTCCAGCTGGGAGTCAGCCTTTTCCCATCCTGCATCCCGGCATCCTGTTATTGTTCCAAGTCTTAGTAATACAGTGAGAAAAGGGAGTGGAGGAAACAAGATAAACTTAGCCTTATTATTGCTATACCTACTTATTTGTTGCTGACTCTAATGAGGGAGCTGAATAAAAGGAAATTGTCTCTGAGAGAAACACAAAAGTTGGTATGTTATTTAGTATCGTTTTATAAAGAGTTTTAGGAGTTAGCAAACATCTGAATGGTACTTTTAAATAGTGTCTGATACTTGATCAGTACAGACTATGCCTGTTTTGCACACACAGGATTTTCAAAGCAGTTTGGAGATGTCCTATCTATAAGGATTTTTATACCTGCAAGCAAAAAAGCTAGAGCCCTCATATGAATGAGACCACGTTCCTGTAAAGCTCTGTCAGCGCTGGATGTAAAAATGAAATTTAACAGTATTTTTCACAAGTAAAATTACGACCCCAGAAGCAAGACAGTGTAGGTGGGCCTTCCAGAAGGAGAAAATGTTTGTAACATCTTGATTATGGTTAGTTTTAAGTCTCAAGACCACTCAGGGCAGACAGAAGGGAAAGATTCAGCATTTGTGTTACATTCCTGAGGCTGACTTGCTGGGCAGTGGTAGCCTGGGGGAGGCTCACCAAAGCGCAGGTGTCAGTGTCTCTAATACTGTCACCCACATAAAACTGAAGTCAGGATAGCGTTCAGTGAGCCCAACCTGATGAGCCAGTGGGCTTCTCTACAGCCTAGCCTGAGTACACAAGCCCTTCTGTGGGACTGTGATGCATTCTTCAGTGCCACCTGCCATTTTCTGACCCCTATCTGCATGTTAAGCTGAATGCAAAGGTGTATCTCTGGCATTGTGCAGTACAAATGGAAGAGGAATTTTCTTACTAAATAATGCAGAAGGAAATCTGAGAAGTGTGGGACTTAACTCAAAACTCACTTTTTTTGAAGCAGTTATAATAAATGTAGGCAAATGTTCAATGTATCTTAAGTAGGACTTTAAATAATAATGTTCTGCAGTTAAATACTCTCTTGCCCCTATTTGTCATCACAGTCCAGCACAGGTGATGGCATTGATTTCCTGGCTTGCTGGAAGGCTGAGGTTTGTTAGATTGTTTCACATTTTTATGATGTACAGCAGCAAAGATGAATGGCTTTTTAAAAACTTTGTTACATTATTTATTCAGAAAAGTTATGCAACTAACGAGGAGACATTTTTCAAAGTCTTACATAAGGAGACCAACTAGAGTTAAATTTCCTTACACGAAAATAAGCCGTTCCTGTGTCATAGCTGAGAGAAGAGCAGGGAGGATGTTGATAGGAGTTTTCCAGGGAACTGCAGTTATCTGGTCAGGATGCAGCTCAGTGATAATCTGGTACCCACAGCAGACAACAGTCCCAGATACGGTTTACTTTTGCAAATGACTTCAACTGTATTTACAACCGTTGCATAGCCTTTGATGTTCATATCTGTGGACTTGGGAGTAAGCGTGCTATTTAGCAAATGTAAACAAAGGAATGAGGATAAGGGAGCCCTTCACGTCCACTGCTCAGAAAAAGAAAAGAGAAAACCCCTATGTTCTCTATGTATGCCCTGAGGCAACAGGCCTAGATTATCAAGGTCTGTTTTGATGCCTGCTAAATAAGCTTTGTATTAGTTGGCTTGTTTTATCTCTACTGAAAAGTTCAGGGAAAGAAGTGAGAAAGTTTCTAAAGGCATTTTCAGCATGCTCTGCTTCAGAGCTCAATAGAATAACTGAAAACCATTTATAAGCTTGGAGGAAGATACTTTCATTTAAATTTTAGAAAACTGATTTAATATCTCAAAACCTTCCACCTTATGCTTTATAGATTTCATCTCTGCTGAACTGATTCTTTAAGTCTTCTTTCTGGCGATGAGAAAACGTCCACTGAAATTTTACCGAATGAAGAACCTATCTTTGCAGCCCACTCCAACAGGTGGCAAAGCTCCTAATGGTTCAGGCCACCCCACACCCAGACTGATTAATTAGTTAATCACGTTAATCTCAGACATTTGCACTGCTGTGCTTCCTAGGCAGTGAATTTCAACACATTTTCAAAGATGCTAACTCAAAATGCTAGCAAGCAGGTTTTCTTGTAGATCTTAGACTTTCAGACTTCTTTCTCTTTATCATTAGGGCCAAATCATAAGACTTTGGAAAAATTCCTTGGTGACTGGTGTCTTTTGCGAGCAAGGTGGTAATGTTTTAAACCAAATATTATTAATTCACACCAAGTTTTGCTAACGAGAAACATCCTGTGCATGATCAGACAACATTGGCAGGTATACTTACCTTTTTAGGTGCCTCATTTTATGTATGAAATCTTATTTAATAGTCAGACTTCTGGAAGTGAAAGGAATAGGTAAAAAATGAATAGAATCCTTAGCATCTAACAACTTTCCACTACTCTGTGTGACTCATTGATGGAGCTGGTGGCACGAGTAAAAGGAGTGATAATTATTTACTTGGCATTTCACAGTGTTTGTCTGCTCTTCCTTTTTCCAAATGACACCAGGCCTTTTTCATTGGTCTGTTCAGCACTGCTGTACAAGTTTTCTTCCATGTTATATGCAGCTGTCCCTACTGGATCATTTCCTTTTTTCCCTGAGGTTTTCCCACAGATCTTCATTAGCTGCTATTTTTTGACTTTGTGGCACCTAGGTTAGATGTGTCTGGCTCAGATCAGCATCTGTTTCTATGAAGCTTTATAGTGTTAGCCTATGTTATTTAAATGCTGGTGTCTGGCCAATCTTCCAGACTACTTA